GTCGTTACGACACGGTTCTCGATGAAAGGGACCGATACAGAACAGAGTGTTTTCAACATGAAGAAACCCTTAGGGGGATCTATGAAAATTTTGAAGATGAGAGTCAAGCTTATTTAGATTTGCAAGACGAGTATACTAAGTTAAAAGAAGATTTATGCATAGCCGGTTTGCAAATAATTGCTCTACGAGTTAGACGGTTAATTCTTACAAAATAGGGGGTATGCATTATGGCAAGAGACGAATAATAGAGTACGGCACTATAAACGCGAGTATCGTTTGCGAGGACAACAATTACAACAATGCCAGGCTGATAAAGGATTACTAGAATACAATCGAGATCGACTCTTTGATAGATATTATAACAAATTCAAGGATCACAAAGCAAGTCATATCAAGTGGAAAAATAGAGAGCGCAATTCATGGCAATTAATTTTGAATTTGAATCAGCAAATATTTGTGTTACAGAATAATTTACCTATAAATATACAAGCAAACATGGCATTGCAACCATTACCATTATCAAATTTTTCAAGTGAGTATGATGAAGATATTGATATTTTTATTAGTCGATTATCATTATATTTTGCTGGTGTTGCTATAGATCTGATCGCTAATCGAGATCAAGCATTTGGTATTCTTAGAGGATGCTTATCTGAACGGACATTAGAATGGTTTGATAGAAAAATTCTTGGTAAACATTGGGAAATTCATAATATTCTTGCAAATCATGGTCAGGCCAGTATGGGTGCTCTCCGAGCTCGTACTATGGCACAAATGAATAATAGTAACAGTTTTAGAAATCCTTCAATAGCGCATGACTATGCAAATATTGGTGGTAATAATGCTGTAACAGTAGGAAATTCAATGATTCCAGCTGAAGCTTTTACCGAAGATTGGTACTTGGCTGGGGGGCAACCATCAGATAGACCTGTTAATGCTATTAATGCAGGTAACACTAATCCCATAGTATTTGACTCTATCCGTATTGGTCAAGTATTATATTAGTTCAGAAATAAATATCCAACAGTAATAAGTGAGAAGCGCAATTTAGTGTATGGATCATTAGCGCAGGGAAGTGAACCTATAGGAGAATTTTACTCGAAACTCTTAAAATATGGAAAAATGCTTAAGCTCGATGAGCAACAAATTAAGGGACAATTTTTACAAAGTTTGTTTCCAGACTTGGAAGATGATGCAGAGCGCATTGGCACCGAACAACCATTAGCTAATCTTTTTGAAGTTCTAGAGCAAATTGAAATGTGGAGGGCTGAGAAAAAATTAGGATTAGTCACTAAAATACCTCAATCTAGTTATAAATCGTCATCTAAATCTCGTGGAAAAGACAATTACTCAAGTAATACAAGTATGAGTAAAGACGAAATGGAAAGCTTTATAAAATTCGTAATGGCGTCTTCTCAATCTCAACCTGTTTCTACACACCTAGCTCCTCAACCACGGAGTGGAGAATTAGTATGACTTAGTCAAATGGAACCAGGTAAAATATATAGTGATTCAAATTTACGTTTGAATGATCAAGAATGGCTTGGAATGAGTAACGTATTAGATCGTCTTAGTGCCACAACAAGTCCATCCGTTTTACAATCATTCATAGATACAATTACTAAAGGGGTAGTTGATAAATTCTCTTCCTTATCGCCTAAGAAAAGTAATGGAAAAGGATCAAAAAAATATGAAGTCGACTCAGATGAAGATCTGGCTGATCGTATGAATAAGTTGTCAATAAATAAGACTATAACTAGACAGGTTAAGAAGGAGGTCAAGAAATCGTCCCAACACAGGTGCTCAGGATACCATAGATCTGGACATCATTCAAATTCTTCTAAATGTCTGAAAAATAAAAAGAAGCGCAGGTCTAAGAAAAAAGGTAAGATTAATATAGCTATTGTCAATTCCAGTTCTGATTCAGATACAAACTCTTCCGATAATGAATCTAATTCTGAGATAGGGTCTGATGCTGAGAATACCTCCTCCGAATCTGAGTTTGAGAATGACTTTACTGAAGATGACGTCGTGAAAATTATCAATGCTGTCAATGCCGCTAAATCAAAAAAAAGTAAAACCTAAGGAATCCAAGACTAAAAAGAAATCTAAACCCAGCAAAAAGAAACAGAAGGATACTTCTACTTCTGGTAAGTCCCGAAATAAATCAACTACCCTTGAGCAGAGTATTCAACGAATTTTATTAGAAATGCTTGAAAAGGTCTTACTTCCGCATCAGTTGGAAAAACTTAAACCTGAGAACAAAAACTTAACCACCCCCGATTTCACGAATTACAGGAAACTGGCTTCAGAGATACCCGATTCGGATGGGGAAGAGGAGACACTGAATGATCCTATGGAGATAGACTTTGTTAAAAAGAAAGAACCGATAAGTCTTGCAACTATTGAATGTAAGATCAAACGTCTGAAAATTCTTGTAATGGTACTCGATAGTGGGGCTGAGCTCCCAATTGTATTAGAATCGATAGTTAAACTTGTAAAATGGCCAATTGATAAATCAGAAATATATGATCTCAGTGGTGTTGCTACCGTCCCGACAGAATCTATCGGTGTTGCTCGTAATTTTCCAATAACATTCCCTTCAGGTTTTACTATACGTGAAGATTTTGTAGTTGTACGAGTTCCTAAACCAACATTAATATTTCCAAATCCGCTTCTCAAGAAATATAAATGCGTCATGAATTGGGATAATGATAAAATGGAGATTCACTACAACGATAAAAAATTTATTATTCCAGTGACTATGCACAAAGTCAAGAACAAGCTCGAAGTAAATTGCGTAACTGTAACTCGTGATGATAAGTCTTTGACATCCGATCAAATTTCACAAGAGACCGATGGGGGTGAGGACGATAATGTATCATTTGAGGAATGGAATGTCCCTGAAGGTTTTAGCTTAGATCCCACCAATCCGACTTTAAAAAAAAATGCGTGAATTGTGAGAGATGTATAGATCTAGAAATGAAATTATATAATGTTCTCAGGTCTGATGCAGAAATCGATAATTTATATGAAAGCATTCTTCAAAAAACACTTTCTCTGAATTAAGTACTATTTCACTACATGCGTCAACTTTGATTTAAACTCTTCATTTCTTTTAATTTTTTGCTCATATGATGCATCCAATTTTTCTGAGGTCATATCACCCCCACTGATATTAACTAATGTTGAGCTATTAGCAAGTATTAAATCGGGTATGCGAGAGTGGAGCTCATTATTACATAATACTGATTTGCTGGAAGTGGCTCCTTTGGAGCTAGGCCTAGATTTGGAACTTCTCTTTTTTATCTCTTTATTGGGGAGAGTAGTAGATGAGTCCTTAACTCGGGACTCCGTCTCTTCCAAATGTAAAATTCCCCCTTCGGTGTGAGTTTGTATAGTAGTGCTGATCTGATTAGAATGTTCAGATAAGACTGCTGGTATAGGTAATATTTCGGAAGAAATGGTACTTTGTATTATTTGTTGCTGACATTCATGACTTTCCCATATATCATTAACTCGATTTTCATTAATATGGAAATCTCTTATTATTATATATTTAGGAACCTTCTCTTTGAGCGTTCTAATTATCTCTATTTGTTCAGAAGTTAGTAATATAGAACCCTTGCGATAATAAGACTGTAGATATGAAGTACTCATGGTTTGTTTTTTTATCCAATATTTTAGAATGATAAAAAACAGTAAAAAATAATATTCATTGTTATAGAATGATAAAAAATAATATTCATTGTTATAGATGGGAGTATTATCGAAAGCAGATACATAAAAATAATTACTTTACAATTACCAGGGTGTTAATTCCTCCAATATATAACAATACCTAATATTAAATATCGTTAAATATCGTTAAATATTGTTAAATATCGTTAGATATCATTAGATAATTATTAACGAAGCTGATTTACTAATAAGGAAGTTCTGCATATAACTCATATGTACTTTCAATTTCTTTATTATATATATGGGATGGGTCTTGTTCTATTACATAGACTATACAATCTTTTTTGGATATATAAGAAAAAAGTGTATCTATAACGGAGCTAGTGTCTCAGACACATAGTATCTAGGTATGATTCTTTTTTTATCAGTAATATTTATAGCGGAGCTAGTTTCTTTGAAACGTATTTAATATTGAGTCAAAAAATATGG